CCGAAATACGTTTTCGGTACTGAAGCACCGAAAGCGCAAAGGGATATAATAATGCATGAGTAGAAAATACACTTACTACAACACCAAAATCCCGAAGTGCGTTTTCGGTACCGAAACTCCGAAAACACATCGGGATATAATGATCAAGAAGTAGAAAATAGACCAAGTAAAACACCGAAATCCCGAAGTGCGTTTTCGGTACTGAAACACCGAAAGCGAATCGGGATATAATAATGTATGAGTAGAAAATAAGTTAAGTGAAACACAAATATCCTGAAGTGTGTTTTCGGTATCGAAACACCGAGAACACATCGGGATATAATAATGTATGAGTAGAAAATACACTAAGTAAAACACTGAAATCCCAAAGTGTGTTTTCGGTACTGAAACACCGAAAATGCATCGGAATATAATGATCAAGATGTAGAAAATAGACAAAGTCAAACACCGAAATCCCGAAGTGCGTTTTCGTTACCGAAACACCGAAAGCGCATCGGGATATAATAATGTATGAGTAGAAAATACACTAAGTAAAACACCGAAATCCCGAAGTGCGTTTTCGGTACCGAAGCACCGAAAGCGCATCTGGATATAATGATCAAGATGTAGAAAATAGACTAAGTCAAACACCGAAATCCCGAAGTGCGTTTTCGGTACCGAAACATCGAAAACGCATCAGGATATAATAATGTATGAGTAAAAAACACACTAAGTAAAACACCGAAATCCCGAAGTGTATTTTCGGTACTGAAACACCGAAAGCGCATAAGGATATAATAATGTATGAGTAGAAAATACACTAAGTCAAACACCGAAATCCCGAAGTGCGTTTTCGGTACCGAAACACTGAAAACGCATCGGGATACAATGACGAAGATGTAGAAAATAGATTAAGTCAAACATTGAAACGCCGAAGTGCGTTTTCGGTACCGAAATACCGAAAGCGCATCGGGATATAATAATGTATGAGTAGAAAATACACTAACTAAAATATCGAAATCCGGAAGTGCGTTTTCGGTACCGAAGCACCGAAAGCGCATCGGGATATAATGATCAAGATGTAGAAAATAGACTAAGTCAAACACTGAAATCCCGAAGTGCGTTTTCGGTACCGAAACACCGAAAGCGAATCGGGATATAATAATGTATGAGTAGAAAATACACTAAGTAAAACACCGAAGTGTAAAACCCTGAAAATTGTGACTTTAGTGTCGGTGTACCATATATAACAGGCATTTCGCTATATATTCGAAGAAAAATAAGGCTCTCATTAACCATCTCTCTTGTTTCCTTGTGCTCGTCTTCACTCCGTATTCGGTAGTGGAAGCCCTTTGATTCGTAGCGGTTGAAACGCTGGCACTCAGTGCAAAGGGTTTGAGGCCAATGGGGTGCCACTGCCGCCTACGGAATTACGATCAGCTCGTTAAATAACAACAATACTGAGTAAGGCGGGAAGTGCGTATTGACAATGACAAAACCCTCTTCCACGAATCCAGAACAACGATTTTCGAGAGGGAAGTAATATCGTCCACCGATCCGTGCGACAGCTTCTCGTGTGTCGCACTCGCAAACACGTGTTCGTTCCTCGTTGTAAGGGAAGGGGCGCGTTGGCGTGGGAGACACGGGAGGCAGGCGCCCAATCGAGGTGCGCCCGTCAGTCCACATGTCAATCAATTGAAATGAGTTTGAAAAAAAACCGAGACGTCACAATCGTAAAAACCAACTAATATTTTCCTTCCTTTCGACACGAGCGAAGCATTTTACAGAGCTCGTACAACCATGCAGTAATCGGGTTGGAGTTTCGAGGGACCAACCCGCGACTCAAGTTCAGTAGGCTAGATCGACGTAAATCCAAGGCGCCTTGCTCTTTTGAGGCTGCCCCATAGACTGGCTGCAGATGGCATGCGGAATGCATTCAGAACGCCAGATCTAAACACTCTTGCATTCTCGAACAAGATCCCGTCGAGCTCTAGGTCTAACCAAAATAAAATTCACATACAAACATTTTTTTTTTTATGCATACATCCACTGTGGAAGGTGCGAAAATGACAATGGTGCATCAACTCCCTCCATAAATCAGAAACAAATCGGGGGATAGTACACATGCATCCACCGTTCACAAGACAAGATGATTGAGTTCCTTGGCATCTAGGGATTACCCAGGAAACTAAAGGAAGAGTTTCAGAAGAAGTTCTTTTGCGCAGGAAATCACAAGGATTCACTTCTGTTCTTAGGAGAGAAACTCATACCACATCGTCATTCAGATCAAAGAGAGAAAGGGGAGAGATGGACGAGAAATGTCGAGACAGGAGACACTGGGATCCGAAAAGAGAATGTTCGGCTTCGCAGCCGTGAACTCACACCAAAGGAAAATGATCCACAACAGTGAAGGTGCATTCTCCGTGAAATTCTAATATGGCCTCGGGCCAATCATCCACTCAACTCCAATTACTGATCCTCTTACCCGCACCGACTATCCCGGTCGTCGCATGCTAACTTTCGTCGCTGCGATCGTCACCCCGCTAACGCAAGCTCGACTCGGCTCGCCCGGATCCCGCAGTCCGTCGTGGCGATCAAGCGCGCAGTTGGACAGCCTACAGTTAGCCCGTCAGGACTTTTCGACTCGCACCAAACGCATCACCTAGCCACTGTTTCCCGGAAGCTGGCTTGCGAGTTGAAAACGTAAGAGAGATTTGCGGGCGCGCTTGCGGAATTATAGTTGCGAGAAGGAAGGCAGAAAGAAGAGAAGGCGGAGGGGAAATCGAGGTGTAACAGCCATTTCGTCAAAACGGACATATTATATTTTTTGAATGAAATCAAAAATGACTTTTTTTGCCAAAATCCGTCGGAATTTTTTTATCCTGGGGACCCCCCTGGTCTATGGTTGAGACCAGATACAATTTTTTTTATTTTTTTTTTTGTATCTGGTCTCAACCATAGACCAGGGGGGTCTGGCGTTTTGGGAACGCCGGACCCCCAAGAACAAAAAATTCCGACCGGATTTTGGCAAAAAAAATCAGTTTTGATTTCGTTCAAAAAATATAATATGTCCGTTTTGACGAAATAGCTGTTGTGTAGGAGGAGAAGATTCAGCGGGGGGCGCTCGAGGGAAGCCATGTTGATCCTTCGGAACCCAATGTTCAACCAATCAGATTCGCCGCGCAATAGGAAGATCCTCTTACTCAACGCGTCTGATTGGTGAGCGGGGGTAATCGAAGGATCGATCGGGTTTCGTGAGCCAAGGTTGAAGGGCGAGAAGGAAAGAGCGCGAGAAGCAGCGCGAGACGGGTCCAAGATTCAGATGATCAAGAAATGAAAACAGGTGCGCAAAGAATAGAGAGAGGGAAAATAGTTGCGATAGGGGAAAAAGAGGAAGGGGAAGGGAGAGAGAAGAGAGCACAGGGGAGAATGACGTGGGAAATAAGGAGGAGGAAGCTCGTATGCGCGGCGCTGACAACAAGAGAAAAAGGCACCAAAACAGTTACAGCTTGCCTATGTCCTAAACCAATTCAAAAATTGAAATCACCATATCCGCGTGTGAAAGTCGAAGCGGGAAAAAAAAGTCCTATGCCTATCCGTATTCTCACAAAATTCCTAGAGTTTTCTCCGACGTGACCGAGAATATTCATGCACAAAAAAAAGACACGTCGGGTTCCGCTTATTCCGGAATTCCTAACTGTCGAGCCCGATTCCTAGTGCGCTGACTAAGGCGCATGCAATTTTCCATGCATTTACCGAATTACAAAAAGCAGAATTCCAAGAATCAATAGAACCTCCGAAAAATGGGCGCCCAAACAAGGCACCTGAAATCAAGGAAAGTGACGGGGACTTTGTTGGGTCATTATGATACAAAAGAAGGAATCGAGTCAAGGGGTACGAAAGATAGCACTGGGTCGGCAAGTGGTTCGTCACATATGTGACGCGCAGGGGGTTCCAAAACTATGCGATCTCCTGATTGCATGAAACCTCGAACAAAGGAAGTGAGAGGAGATGAAGAAGCAGGAAGAGGAGAAACTTAGATCAGCAGAGAAAACTGAGCTGGGGTATGAGTTGGCGACAACATCAGTGTCAAGATCTCCGTGATGCATGCCGGCTCGTGCTGTTTTGGATCCCATCCTCTGTAATCCTGTCATATGCAACCCCCTACCCTTTAATCTTCGGAGACCGTCCAGGTAGCACCATCATGGTCCATCAGGTCTCTGTGTGCTTTGCACTCCCAGTCCAGCGCAATCTGTCGAATCAGAGCATGTGTTGACGTCATCGTCAATGGCGTGATCTTCGCGAAACTGCTGATTCGTGCCGCTCGGGGGACACGTGTCGATCTCTCCAATCGATCGCCACGGAGAGCCTTCCATATGCCACTTACCGTGAGAAAGAGTGTGGATGTCATCCAGTGTGGCAAGCCTAATCACCTAATCCCCAGAACGGTCATTGACAAGAAGAGGGTGGGATGCACCACCGTCGTGACACGTGGCGGGTATCAGTGTCGCGTAGGAATGGGAAAGTAGACATTGTACATGGAGGGGTGCCGACGGGGAGGGTTGGGGGGAAGTGGGGGTAAGTAGCGGTCCATCCCTTCCACTGTGACCGGAAGCTCCTCGTAGCGGATGATCCGGTGAAAGCGGGGAAATCGGTCTCCGCTGTGAAGGAGGGAGGCGAGGTAGTCTGACTCAGGGTAGAGAGTGGAGAAAGTGCTGAAGAGTGCCGCGCGAAATAGCTCGTGATTGCGGCATGCGGGGATGGTTCCCGTGATTACACAGTAGACTTCTACTGCGTTGCTCTGCTCCCACGCGGCACTAAACAAAAGGACATGCAAACAGAAGACGGGGGTTGCGCATTGAAGGGAAGGATGGGGATAGACGGTGACGGCGAGGCAGGTGGAGTAGAAGTGATGGAAGGTATTGGGAGGGAAGGGGGTGCGAGTGAAGGTGGCGGGGGTAAAGATCTGACGGAGGGCAAGGTAATCAAGGGGACGGCGGGATAATGACCGGGGACGAAGGCCGATCCCCCGCATCGGTACGTGGACGAACTGGGGGACGGGCTGAGGTGGAGGGGGAAGGGGATCGGCTCCGTCTCCGTCACGATGCGCTCGGAGTCGTGGCCGCAGGGTCACCATCTTCGGGCTTGGGGGGCTCCGGATCCCGGATCGTGTCGTCGTTGATGCTCAGGTTCGCCCCGCTGGCGAGCTCCAGCTGCCTTTTCCCGGCGGCGATCTCTTCCCTCTTACGTGCAGCCTCGGGATCTTCCGCCCCTGTGCCTGTAGGCGCCGCTTCTTCCGGCAAGGCTTCCCACTCCGATCCGACTTCCTCCTCTTCGTCGTCTTCTTCCTCTTCCTTCTCTACACTCTGCTTCCCTTCGCTGTGCTCACTATGACTCCCCTCCTCCGACGTTTCTTCTTCGGCGTCGCCCTCTTCTTCGGTGGCTTCTTCTTCTCCTTCTCCTTCAACCGCCTCCTCGGACGTATCTTGCTTCGGATAGAAGGCAAGATTGATGATTCCGTACGGCTTCAAGTACTCCTGCTGGGACGGCAGGGCGCTTTCACTCCCTGGTTCCTCCAAGCATGCAGTCCACTGACGATACGGTGCCAATGTCCACGTAAGGACGTGCGGAGCCGGACTCTCGTCACTTTGCGAAACGATATCGAGAGAGAGGTCCGCGACCAGTTGCGCGAGCGGGACGATGAGTTCCTGGACAATTAGCTGGCGATGGCCCGGCCGCACCATGCTCGTCGGTCCGCGTCCACGTCACCTTCACTCTGGCCAAGCACACAGACAAATCGACAAAAGTCTCACGCCACGCCCACCAATGCCGGGGATCGAGGAGCGGGACTGCTAGAGGCTCGAGCAAGAAGGAAAGACGAGGATGAAGATCGGATTGCCAGAAGGTGGGGAAAAGAGAGGGAAGACCGAAGGTGGAGAGAGGAGCGAGAGGAGCGATGCAGTTCATTGGGGGCGTTGGAAGGGGATGAGTGTGGGGAGCACAACTGCCAGCTGGCACGTAGAGGTGCGGATCTCATCGAAGTCAGTCTCGTACATCGGGACGAGGTTGTACTCGGGGCGTGCAAGACTGTGATGCCACTCAACCGATAATTGATGCGTCCACTCCCGTAATGAGGTCAGGATCGCGGTATGCTGAAGCGAGCTGACTGCGCTGATATCGCCGCTGAAGGCAGCGACCGTGGTGACGTGGCTCGTTCCTGGAGCCGCCCGCCGATGGAATGCCACCACCTCTGCCAATACTACTGCCTGCGGACTTCCTGTGAATCGGAAAGCAGCGGCGGCACACACACTCTAGGTGCAGAAGAACTGCGCCAGTCGTTGAAGATCAGGACTGAGCCGCGGATGACGAACTTGCCGGATCTCCGAGATGTAGCCACGTGGCTGCAGCAGATGATTGCCAAGGGCTTGCTCCGCGATGAAACTCATGGCAAGGACGGGGAAGAAGATGAGAGATGGGAACAAGAGGGAGAGAACGAGACGGGGGTTGGATCATCGTCGTCCTCATTTTCAGCAGATGAGGGAGACGGAGGGAAATCAGAAGGAGGGAGGGGGCGGATATAAGAGGTGTGGCGGATGATGGGGACATAGCTATAGCTGGCGCTGGCCTCGGGCGCAATGCGCACAGTGTTGGCACCGTTGGGTCCGAGCTCGACAACGCGGAAACAGCCAGAGAACTTGGGAGCGAGTTTCCGGTCGTGTGCGCATTTACGTACCTGCACTAGGTCCCCTAATTTATATTGATGTTGCGGACCGGCGTTCCCATTTCGGGCCTCGTAGCTACGGACTTGCCTCCAGTGGGCTAGATCAATCATTTTTTGTCTCTTTCGGGCTAGCTTCGGGACGGCCATTTCCATCAAATCGGCGTACCTTTTGGCCTTGGCCTTAAGGGCGGCACGCGTGTCTCCACCCCCTGCTTCGGCAATTTCCGAGTTGCCCCGATAATCGACACATGGGAAGCTATTGGTGCAAAGCTGAAAGGGGGTGAACCCCGTGGATTCGTGAGGGGTGGCCCGGTGAATTCCGACGATTTGGTATACGATCTCGGGCCACGGACGCGTGTCATGTGCCGCTAAATTTCTACGAAGGGCAGTCTTTATCATGCGATTGACATTTTCGGCCAACCCATTCGACTGGGAAACATGGGGTGCCGTGTGTCGAAGTGTAATGCCTCGGCGCGCGAGCAATTCCTCAACCTCGCCTTTGAATTCGGATCCGTTGTCGGTTAGAATCTCTTCTGTATCTAGGTGGGTATAGAGGAACCGATCGATGTACGTGGCTATCTCTATGGCCTTACGGGTCTTGCAGGGGTAGACCTCGATGTATTTGGAAAAATGATCTACTAAAATTAAAAGGATGGAGTATTCGCAACGGTTTGGGCCAGGTGGCACGTCGATATCTGTAGTGTCCATACTGACTCGCTGGAAAGGGCGCTCTACTTCCGTCGGTACTATCGTGTTTGGTCCCCGTATTGGGGCACGATCGGCGGCACAGACTAGACAGTTGGCGACCACGTATCTGACATCGTCCCGTATATTAGACCAGAACCATCGATTCTGATCTATAGTTGCTTCAGTGACACGTATCGCGAACTTGAAGTGAGCGGTCTGCTCTTCGTGAGCAGATCAGGTCCAATCATATCTCTGGAATGGATGGGGAACCGTCAACCACAAACCCGATCCGTCAGTTTTACGCTTTTCCAGGTGACCTTTGATCCATCGGTAATCCCGGGATCTCTCGGTAGCCCGACGTCTGTCGTGCTTAGTGAGATGATCCAATGGTAAACCAGCCAATTTAGCTAATAGAATTTTATCCGTCCAGACCTTCGCTCGTCGGTATTTCTCGTCATATTCAGGGTCGTCCGTTCGGGCAGCCTCAAATCGAACCTCGGTAGGGAGTTTGTCCGTTCTACACAGAGGGCACTTCCATTCCTTACTACTCGTTCGGTATCGAACGCATGCACCGTGTGCACGATTGACACACGTGGCACAGTCCACCCAATCAACGAATCCGGTTTCAAAAGGATGACAGTCCACCCCATAAACCCGTGTAATACACGCAGAATTTATCAGGAAGGGTGGCGAAGAAGGCCGAGGAGGTGAGAGGGGCGGAATCAGCAGGGGAAGAAGGGGTCGCAGAGACAGGTGGGGTAGCCATGATGAGAGGGG